CACTCACACTCACACTCACACTCACACTCACACTCACACTCACACTCACACATGGCAATCTAAACTTCCGGCGCGAGCACTTCTGGAAGGAAAACCTAACAGTAACATAGTGGCGCTTTTGTTCCCATACACGACATGTCAAGTTAAAGGAATTTTCTAAGATGTGGAAGAATTGCAAGAACCGAACCGGCACTTGTGGCAGAAAAGCCGGCCGTAACAAAGTGGCGCTAAGAAGCCCCCCTCAACCCACGCAGACCTCTGGCATGAGACCCCAAGCCCCCCTCACAGTATCCGAAAGTGGATGGTGCTCTTGTGTCCACTGGGGTTGAAAACGGTGAATCTGCTTGCTGCAGGGGGAGAATGCCACGAAGGCGGAGCTGAAATTTGATGTGATATACGATTTTGCTGCAGGCGTTTCGATGAAGGTCAGCGACGGAGCGCGGTAGGCTTTTCAGCATTTGCTGTTTATGCACTCATGCCTCTAAGCCTTCAACCCTGAATTCCGCAGTGTACTGCCCCCAACCCCAACCTTAAAATTTCAGGGGTTGGGGTCGCCGCCTGCAGCCATGGCTGACTACAAAGTTCCTGACCAGTACAGCAGCAGCAGCTACACAGCCATGCAAAGTCCAAGTAGCTCTACAGGCGCCCCTAATAAGCGGCCAATTCTGCCCAGCCCAACCGTTGCGTTTCCCAACTACTGGGAGAAACCTGCCACGGCAACCGTCTTTGATTTTGCACAGCGGCTGAAGAAAGGTCCTTTGAAGGACGAGGTGCAGTACAAGATAAGCGTCGATGGGCTGACAATCTTTATTGGCTTCGGGCGGCATGGCTTTTTGGGAGTGAGCACCTTCGGGCTTAGGGGATTGGAGTGGGCCACTCGGTACTCCCCCCCCCCCCCCCCAAGTATGTGGAGCCCTCAAGCAACACATAGGCTATTTAAGGATTTTCACGGACGCCAAATTCTAAACAGCCCTACACCCCCACGCCAAACCAAGAAACTGTGCTTTGTGTGGCTCAAAGGCTGGCAAGCTCAAAAGCCAGAAGAGGCTGTGTAGCTGAGAGACAAAGCCATGCTGAGAGACAAAGCCATGCTGAGTTGCTTGCTGGGCTGCTTTGACTTCCTGGCACGTGCAGAACTGAGTTTGAGCTCAGCTTTGCTAGTAGAGTGCAAGTCTCGTGATGTCTTGTGCATGTGTGTGTGTGTGTGGTCACCGGGAGTTGGCTGGTTCAGGCCAGTCCCACGACACTTCGGTGTGTGGGTGTCTTGGAAGGGCCTTTTGAGTTTAGGGCCTTGGGATTACCCGAAGTTGTTGACATCCCATCTAGCCAATACAATGCCTTAGGCCTGATGCCCAACGCATCACTCGGAATCCCGAAGCAACAACCCCAAGGCACAAAGCCACAAGCCGCATGCAAGGAACAGACGGTGGGCGAGCGCGTGACTGGTGGCAGTGGAGGTTCTTTGGGATCGCGAGCGCTCCACTTCTGCAGTTCGTCGTGATCGTCCTGCTTTTGGGCCGGCCATAGGCTCTTCTTCCGTGAGGTCTTCAGGCCTTTCGGAGTCCGCCCTCAGGACGTCGTTGACCGCTGATGCGAACCACGATAGCCGGGTATTCCGCTTGGAGGCCATACCCGAAGCACAGACGAAACATTCTAGATCGTCATCAAAAGCTTGGATTCAAACAAAAACCTAAACCCTGAACCTTATTTTCGGAGTCCGCCGTCAGGACGATACCGCTTGCTGGACATCTAACATATTAACTTCAGGTTTCTGCACGGATAGGTGTTTTCTGTATTCAGTGAAGTTTATATCAGCGAAAGAAGGTGCAATCATTTCTAAGGACATATGTTGCACCCATGGTGAGGGGTCCTGAATGAGCGTTTTTACTGGTTAATGTTCCATTTTTCATTTTACGCGATGCCAACAGATCAGTGCTTCTCTCAGAATATACAAGCAGGTTAAGTTTAATTCTTACCATTGTTCTCGAATACATCCTGCAGGTCAGACCCTCTCATTGAAAAACCACACACTGAGATTTCATTGAAAGGCAGTATTTTTTTTGTCAGACAAAAGTTCCAACCTTTCGAGCACAGTGCCGGTGCGCAAAAATTTTCCGATTTGTGAGCTTTCATCGCTTGACTGCACACATCGAGCCAAATGCCTTGATTAAACCACGAATCCCAGTTTCCTGAAATCCATGTGCAGGATTCTTCTTTGAGCTTTTCGAAAGTGAACTTACCAGATATCAAGCCTGATAGACGCTGGGGAACTTGTGTTGCTTCATTGCAACAGAGCCCGCGTCCGTCAGCAGAAACACACTTGTTACACTTCTTATTTTTTCGGTTTCATTCGTTGTTACTTGATGGTAATCATTCAAGCCATTTTCTAGAATGCCTGATAAGCTTTCATTGCACATTCCGACTGACTTTCCACGATCCACGCTGGACATGTCGTATCCATCAAAATACATCTATTTTCAGCCAACTGCTTCTTACCGTGATAGAAGGCTTCATAGTTCTTGAGTACTCATCCACTGAATACGCAAGAAATGTGCTCAAATTCTGGGGTACGGTCCGTTAGAAGGGCAGCAAAAGCATAATTGCTCGGAGTTCAAGCAAGATTCACAGTCTTCAAAGTCGCTGCAGTTTCGTACGATTAATTCTAATAGAGATAAAGAGGGATCATAGCTCAATGCCGATTACATGGACAATTTCGCACTGCGTAACGAATTTATACGTCTGAGAAAAATAAAAAAGAGTTGTGTTTAGTTTTATTGAGGTAAACAATTATAGACAAGTAAATGAACGGGACTCAGTTTAGAGGCACTCACAACAATTGTTTGGAAGATGGGATTTCCTCCCAAAGATAAAGGGCTGGATGTAAAAGAGAGTGGCTGTTGTAAATATACGACATCTAGAGAGAGCATCTGAGTTTTTGGAGCTTCTTGCAAACGCCCAGAAAACGGCAAGGAATATAGAATTTTGATGGGTGTTGATCAGCTGTGTCTTTGTAAATACCCACAACACAACAAGGTGTGCTTGCGTCGGAATTTTTTCTTGCCATATCTTCCAGTAAAGAAACACATTGATACGAGGTGTGTGTGTGTGTGTGTCGATATGTGTTCTTGAAGCAAATTCAGAATGAATGTTCTTAGATAAAAAGCCACTTTGTTGCGGCGAGTTTTCCTTCCAGCAGGAAATGTCTCTTGCCATGTTCTACAGGAAAACTATGGCCGGCAGGTTTTCCTTCCAGAAGTGCTCGCGCTGTGATTTTTCTTGACATGTCATACAGCTACAAAAAAGGCGCCGTTTTGTGTATTGTCGGGCGTCTTGGCTTCAGGAGAGGCGATCTGTTAAAGAAATTAGGGTTTAAGCTTAAATCCTAAAACGAAGCCATAGAGACCTTAATCCATGAACCCTATTCGAAAACCAAAGAAGCACCACTTTGTTTCGGGGTTATGGCGTTACTGCCATAAGTGTTGATGCGCTGGTTTTGTTCCTTCCACGTTTTAGAGGAGGAAAAAACCGCGAGTATTCCTTCCAGAAGTGCTCGCGAGTGTAACTTAGCTTGCTATGTCGTGTCAACTTCTTTGTTGCTGAGTCCTGAAACTCTGGACACAGTGCGGGATCGGGGGGAGCCTTTTCTTGAGCAGAGTGAACACACCGCTCCTCGCACTTGCAAGTGCAAACGCCGTCTTGGGCAGAGGGAGTCTCAGAGCATCGGCCGGAGGAAGCGTTGTTGTTGGGCAAAAGCATGGCAGACCTCCCCTTCATATCATCCATCTTCTCAAATTGTTACCAAAATCTCGGAAAATTGTGATGCCAGACTTCAGAAGCCCAATCTTCCCCACCTCAGGCTGAGGCTTGAGCGGGCTGAAAGTCTGGGGGCTTCATATTGGCTTGCGTTCCAGCGTGGCTTCCGACCGTTGTGAAGCAGATGTCGTGGCCCACAACTCAGATTCTTGCAACTCTCAGGTGGCGGGCACGCTGCAGGAGTGCGAAGATCAGGCTGGCCGGCTTTAGAGACAGGAAAAGGGGGGGGAGGGGGGGGCTGCCTGGTTCTTTGCAGATTTTTCGAGTCATCTGAGTTGTTGGGATGCGCCTTTCGTGCTCTATGACTTTACGACTCGATAAGGGCTCATTCAAGCATGCGTGATTGCCGTGTGCAGGTGAGACGATCTTAGAACCTGTGCTTGCGTGATGCGGTGCGAAAAACAAAAAGGTCACGTGCTGGGACATGCCGGATATGCTGCAGAGCTTGGTCGTGATCCGTGATCCGCCAATTGTTTGCCTGCGCTCGCCCCGTCAACCCCAGCGCCCTCCGTCCGTCACTGAGCGAGTGCATGATCACTCCTCTCAAATGTCCGATTTAGAAATCATGCTGCAGCGGAGAAGCGCAAGGGGGCTGAAGCTAACTGGAATAAACAAGCAACGAAGTCGGTGTGTATTTTTTCTCATGGAAGTGAGATGAACTGAGGATGTTTTACCACAAGCCCAAAGCCCTTGATCCCCTTTGCCCCTCCAAATCCCGGTGACTGGGCTGCGACGTTAGATGCATGCGAAGTTTCAGTCGGCCGGCAACTCTGCCTGCAGCTGTGCAGTCATGATGGTCATGCTACATCTGACACAAGAAAACAACAGAATCACCAAGTGGCAGTGGTTTTTCGTTATCCACGCTGCCGAAGGAGCACTGTCAGCAGCACCGAGCCCTTTACAAACAAACGTCCACATTGCACATCAGATCGATGGCAACTTCATTGAGCCATGGCGTCTGCCAAGCTGGATTGTATTTACGCGCTGGGCAATGTGTCCCGTGCTTGCCTGGGTTTTACTGTGCAGGTGCAGGGAACGTTGAGCCGTGTCCCTCCAATTCCACTTCGCACAGCCACGCGTCTGAAGTGACTGATTGCGAGTGTGTCGCAGGACATTATTTCTTCCAGGGGGCATGCCGTCCGTGTGCCCGGGCCAGGTACAAGCCCACACGAGGAAACGAGGAGTGCATGTTCAGCTGTCCTCCCAATGCCGACAGTGATCCTGCATCCACAGAGCTTCAGGATTGCTTCTGCTTTCCTCGCTACCATGCGGAGCTCTTTGGTGGTCAGTTATCCCGCTGCGTCAGTTGTGAATCCTATGAGGGCCTCCTTTGTGCAGGTGGCTTTCTTCCAAACACAGAAAAAGTCCACAGGCAGCCTGTCGCGTTGCCCGGCTTTTTCCAGACGGGTCTGACAACTGCAGTTGAATGCATGCTGGAGATGGCCGACGGCTCGAGCATTTGCCTTGGCGGCGCCGCCTGCTTGAACAAGAGTGTCTCGTGCAGTGGCGAGTGGCTAAGCGGCTGCGCAACCGGAGCAGAGGGCGTGCTGTGCGGCGAATGCGCAGAGGGGTTCGGGCGAGCAGCTCCAGACGAACTTTGCGAGCCTTGCCTCAAGGGCACCTGGTGGCTCATTCAGGCCATCTGCGCGGACGTCTTCCAGAAGGTCACTCTCAACTTTGCTCTGGCGATCATGGCGGCGAGTGCTGCCGTAAAGAAACGCGGAGGCCTCTACACAAGTGTCATCCGTCTTGGCATGCAATGGCTGACAGCCTGCTCCGTCCTCGCGCATTTTCGGCTTGAAGGGCTCCAAGCCTTTTCCTGGGCTCATGCCCTCCGCGATCGCGATGAGGAAGCATCCGCCCCAAGCTTTGCGTGGCCAGAGGTCACCGGCCTCTTCCGCTCTTTCTTTAACATCCAAGTCCTTCCGAGCCTTGCGTCGGTGTATCAAGCCGCCAGCTGCCAAGCATCGGAGATGCTCCCAGGAGATCGTGTGGCGCACATGGTGGCGCCAGGCCTCTACGAGTTGCTTCTCCCCTTCTTCATTGTCTTAGGCACGACGGTCATGTGCATGCTGGTGGTCTACTTGTGCGTGCCGATTGGAAATAGGTGTGGCATTGAGTTCAACCTGGCCGCAAGAGAGAGGCTTGCCAAGGCAAAGGCCACACAGAAGCTCAGGCGTGCAGCGGAACCTATACTCTTGGAGGAGGGCATGAGTTGGGAGGATGTTGAGGCTTCTGGAACCCTCGAAGCCCTCAGCATGAGCAAGATCAAGCTGCTCCCCTTCCATGCGGAGTATTTTGTCACAACGATGCTTCGCAGGTCCGGCACATGGGTGAGGATCCTTCGCGCCAAGCGCGCGCTAAAGGATCCGGAGCTCCAGGCCCAGCATGGGCGCTTCAGCAACTTCAACGTCTTCAAGGAGGACGTTCCCCCTCAGGCGATGGCTCTCGTTGCTGTCCCAGCTGACTGCAGCGATGAGCAGTTTCTGGCCGAGCTGGCTCTTGCCGCCTTGGCGTGGAAGCTGTGTTGCACGCACCGCGCAGTGGCGCAGAGTGGCCTCGAGCTGGCGTCAGTCGCGCGCGCATTTCTGGCAAAGTTCCGTTCGGCGGATGATCTCCAGGACGCGTCGTTCAAAGATACTTTCTCGATGATGGTGGAGGACATCTGCGCTCAACTCCAGCTGGAGGAGCAACTTAATTAGGTATGCTTGGGATCCAGTTTTAGTTTTTGGGCACGACAATTCCCAAGAACCAGCAAAAATCATAATGTGTACTAGGGTTCCAAGTTCAGTTAAGGCAACAAGAGGAGGAGCAAGCTGTGGAGTCGCGGTCGTCTGGAAAGCAACTGGGGCCCGGAGATGTTACGGCGCTGAACTTCGGGCTTTTCACAAGTCGTCCTTCTCCACTCACCTTGCTGAGACAGAGTTCACCCGTCATCTGGCTGACGCTCCTCATGCGCATGTGGCCTCAGCTGCTCAGGAGCTACCTGCTCTTCATCCAGTGCATGGTGGTTCCAGAGGACAACGGCGCCAGCCAACACCGCTTGGTCCATCATCCAGAGGTCGTTTGTTGGTCGAAAAACCACTGGCCTTTGGCAACCGTTGCCATCCTGGGACTTCTTCTTTGGTGCTTAGGACTTCCACTTGCGCTTTTCCTGAAGATTTGGCGGAGCCCGGATCGGCTGAGCCAGGAGAACTCCAGGAAGTATGGCTTCTTCATCGAAGGCTACGAGCCGCGGTTTTGGTGGTGGGACATCGTTGTGAAGCGCTTGGACATTGCTGTGATGCTTCTGATTGCCTACACCTCCATCGCACCAGACGATCGCAGCAAGCTGCTATTGTTTCCCCTGATTTCAGCGATCCAGCTCGGCATTGCGTGCTGCTGCAAGCCCTTCGCGAACGATCAGGCCCAGATTCTTGATTTCCTAGAAGTGGTGTTGATGGGGTCTCGCTTTGTGCTCTTCGCGGCCATCGCGGTGCTGCTCGTGCTGAACCCTTCTTCCAGGACGACGTTGCTGGTCTCTGTCATGCTTCTACTACTGCTGCTCGTGGTGAGCATGTTCCTTCTGTTGCATGCTGCGTCACAGAAGATGCGCGAGTATCTTGCCGGCGAGCATCATGAAGACGAAGAGGAGCTATATTTGGAGCAGCATCGCCACAAGACATCTTTCAAGGAACTTGGAGTCCAAGGAAAGGAACGTGCAATTCGCATCTTCCTTCCGTTGCTGCAAGAAGATGAGCATACGCGCTGTGTTGTGAGCTGGTCCTGCTTTGATGACAAGGTTCTCTTTCAGTCGCAAGCCTCTCACTGCAGCTCCGGATACAGGCCGCAACAATCGACCATCGTCGGCTCACCGAGGTCACCGAGGTTGCAGTGGATGAAGCAGGCTCGAAATGCGATCCTGCGTGTCGGGCGGAGCTATCAAGAGGCAACTCTGGCGCAGGCCTTCGAAGAGTTCGTGTCCTTGTGGATCAGGGATCTCCAGCAAGGACAGCTCCCAGCGGTCCAGCACGTGCTCTGCAGCTTAGCTGCCGCCAACCGCAGGGTTCCAGCAGCGTTGAGAAGGCAAAGTGCCGTGCCGATGTGGGTTTCAGAGGTGCATCGGCTTTGTGATCTCTCTGATCCCAATGGCCCTCAAGGCAAGGCTGTCCTCAGCCTGCAGCAGCTCACCGCAGCCTTGAAGCGCTTGTCGACGCTCAACAAGGCGGATGCGGTGATGCTGGTCAATGAGGTTTCCCGAGTTCTGGCACAATGCAGGGGTGCAGGCGATGTGCCGCTAGAGCACGTGGAGGTTCTGCAGGCCGCCGCAGAGAAGGAAGAGGATCCGCAAGAAGAGCCGCCTCCCAGCATCATGGCCAATGCGGAGTCGTTGACGAAAGACATGCAGCTCCAGTACCTCGCAAACGAAGTTCGGCATTGGCGAAGAAGGGCCACGAAGCTGGGGCGCCAAAGGCAGAGGCAGCCACAGGGGAGGAACAAGGAAATCATGGCTACAGCGGAGCCGCTGGCAAAAGAGGAGCAGAGCCAGTACCTGGCAAACGAAGTTCGGCATTGGCGAAGAAAGGCGAAGAAGCTGGGGCGCCAGAAGCAGAAGCTGATCCAAAGGAGGAATAAGGAAGTGTCTGAGCTGCGCACCAAGGTCACAAAGGCATTGACGCTGATGAACGCGCCTGAAACGCCTCAGCGGACGCGAGGCGCCGTCCAAGCCTCCCCACCCCACTTTCTTTGCTCTTCCTCCGTGTTCGGTCCGAAGCTTGCGGCAGCCCGGCTCTGATATGCCTTGCGGTTCCCTCTGCCCTTTCGTCTCACCAAATGCGCGATTTTTTTGGGGCTTCATGCACCTTCCGCCAGCTTCATGTCGGCCACCATCGAAGCTGTTGAGCACCAGCAGCCGGGGAGCAGTGCCGAGGTTTGTTGCGAGCCGGCGTCAAAGAAGCTGCGCTGCTTCTTGAGCTTGTTTTGTCTCACACACCTCCTTCGTTCAATCTTATCCCAGTGGTTTCACAAGGTGTCCCAAGGACCCAAGGAAACCCGAAACTCTTCCAGTGGCGGCGAAGCAGCCTTGCGCCAGGCTGGGCAACATCACACAACATCCGCGAACCAATTTTAGCCAGGGGCAGGCGCTTCCTGACCGGAGGCACCGGTCCTGGGCACTAATCCTCGCGAGGTGGAAAGTGTTGTTTATGTTGCAAGAGGAAATAATTTAGTAGGAGCAGGCATTGAACGTTCAGCTCATGTTGAGCTCCGAATATCTCCGAATGAAATCATTTCGGACGTGCTCTGAGCTGACAGCTCTGGCAAGCTACGTCTCGTTTCATGAACGGAGTGAACGCTCCGCAAGGCGAAAGGATGGGTTGCTGCAAGATCTTATGGGCAGGACATCCCAAGTGTCTCCCCAAACAAGCAACCCTGCAAGCCTTGAAGTTGAAAGTCTTTCCCGAAGGCCCTCTTCTTGTAGCACAGCGTCAAGCTTGGAGTCGGGGGATGCAAGATGTTTAGGCCATGGGCCACAGCTGGCTACCGGCTCAGGGTGGTGATGACATGCTGGGCGCCATGGCTGTTACAGCATATCCGCATTAATTCCTGGTCTCGTGAATCATTGAAATCAGGGGTTCATGAATTTGTTTCACTTCTTTCACTAGTTTAGGAAACCCCATCTTTGATCGTCGGAGAACCGCCCGATCTTGGCTTTCAGCTCGAGGATGCGACAGGGGCGTATTGGCGCAGCAGGGCACATCTACCGAATCTACACACAACCCGTTTGTTCGCTCCCCCTCACCTGGGGTGGACTACAGGTCGTGATCCCTAATAACCATAAGAAGCCATAGAAATATAGGTATCGCAGGGCTTCCCAGCCCCCCCCCCCGCCCTCCCCAATCCCGTGAAGAGTAAGTGTAGCCCGTAACAGAGTAGACCCAGGTTTTCAACACTGAGCAACCTCGAAGCTTGGTTTACCGGGCCCATGTTATGGGCCTCTTCTGCCATGGCATTGAGTGGATGGCCTCCATATGATTTTGCGCTTGTGCAGGCCGTGATGAGCAAGGTCTTTCGATTCTCGCAGCCTTTGTTGAGCCAGCGTGAGGATAAGCACGTGGCCACAACATCCACCACCTTGTTCGTCAAAGGTTCGCAAGTGTCAGAACGTGCCATGAACCAAGGATGTCGCTAGAAAGCTGTGTTGCAGAAGCGGCGTTCAGTCACATTCCAAAGCGGGACGAAGATAGATTTGGCACCGCCTTGTTGTGCACCGCTTAGTGGAATCACGAAGGTGACGAGTATCAGCTTGGGTGCTTGTGCAGGCCATATTGAACCGGGCCCTTGGACGCAAGGAGATGTTGTGGAGTCAGCGAAAAGACGACGACCACCGCCTTGTTCGTCACAAGTTCGGAAGTGCCTGAACTGTAGCACGCCGTCAAGCAAGAGTGTCAGGAACATCACTAGGAAGCTGTATTGCGGGGGCAGCAAGGCCTTAGGTCACCTATTTCTCGTTCCAAAGCGGAAGATCAGAATTTGCACTGCCTTGTTTGTGTACCGCTCAGTGGATGCACGAAGGTGAATTGCACTCGCCGCTCATGCAGCCAGCTTTCCCCCATGCGGCCTGATTGAATGTCTGCGCCACCAGTGTGCAGCAGGAGCCGTGTGAGCGTGAAAAATGCATGCAAGTTTCAGTGCCTCCCTACCTGTAGCAAAGATTGGCTTCACTACCTTGAAGGTGGAAGCCCCATGCTGCCGGCACAGACAGATTGAATGGAAGTGCATCAAAGATGTGGCAGAATCAGCCCTCTAAACGGTCCCAACTTCAGCGCTGAGTTGTGCGTCTGTGACTTAAGCTGCTTTTCGCCAAGGAGCTCCGTCAAATGGTGTTGCCTGATGATGCATCAGCGGGGTTGTCAGTCCTGCAAGGGGGATTGCAAGGGTTGATCCCGGAGCATAGCCTGAGCTTTCCTGACCCTGTGGCCAGAATGCAAAGTCACTCCCCGAATCAAATTGCATCACGGTTCGCTGCATCTTTTGACCGTCGGTCTTCTGGCAGATCGCGCCAACGTGCCTGTCCTTGCTCAGCACCCAGAAATTCATCACACAACATGTTTCTCCCTCGTCGCCCGAGTCTTTGCGACCACGTGGATGGTGTTGGGGTAGTGCTCAGCCCTGCTTTCGGTGGCTCGACAGCAGTCGCGCGGGACTTTTCCAGCCTTTGCCAAAGTCGGATCTTGGTAACGTCGGGTGCATGAAGTTGCGTGATGCACCTGTACCCCGCAATTTGGCGAACCATGTCACGCCATCAAGCAAGAGTGTCAGGAACATCACTAGGAAGCTGTGTGGCAGGGGTAGCAAGGCCTTAGGTCACCTATTTCTCGTTCCAAAGCGGAAGATCAGAATTTGCACTGCCTTGTTTGTGTACCGCTCAGTGGATGCACGAAGGTGAATTGCACTCGCCGCTCATGCAGCCAGCTTTCCCCCATGCGGCCTGATTGAATGTCTGCGCCACCAGTGTGCAGCAGGAGCCGTGTGAGCGTGAAAAATGCATGCAAGTTTCAGTGCCTCCCTACCTGTAGCAAAGATTGGCTTCACTACCTTGAAGGTGGAAGCCCCATGCTGCCGGCACAGACAGATTGAATGGAAGTGCATCAAAGATGTGGCAGAATCAGCCCTCTAAACGGTCCCAACTTCAGCGCTGAGTTGTGCGTCTGTGACTTAAGCTGCTTTTCGCCAAGGAGCTCCGTCAAATGGTGTTGCCTGATGATGCATCAGCGGGGTTGTCAGTCCTGCAAGGGGGATTGCAAGGGTTGATCCCGGAGCATAGCCTGAGCTTTCCTGACCCTGTGGCCAGAATGCAAAGTCACTCCCCGAATCAAATTGCATCACGGTTCGCTGCATCTTTTGACCGTCGGTCTTCTGGCAGATCGCGCCAACGTGCCTGTCCTTGCTCAGCACCCAGAAATTCATCACACAACATGTTTCTCCCTCGTCGCCCGAGTCTTTGCGACCACGTGGATGGTGTTGGGGTAGTGCTCAGCCCTGCTTTCGGTGGCTCGACAGCAGTCGAGCGGGACTTTTCCAGCCTTTGCCAATGTCGGATCTTTGTAAGTGGGGGCGCATTCCGTCTGGTGACGCACTTGTATTCTGCAGCTTTGACCTGCTCTCATGCATATTTGGGCTTGCACTGATGTTGCTTGGAGCAAACAGACTATCCACTGCGAATTCTCCGACAGTACAACAGCAATGATCTTACGTCACAGATGCTCTTTGTGCTGGGTCAATCGAACTTACCGCGACCGTTCCTGCCTGCCTATTTGAGCGGTGCAAGGGGAGATTGTAAGGGTTGATCCCGGAACACAGGCTGAGCTTTCCTGACTTTGTGGCCAGCATGCACCATCATTCCCCAGATCACATTACATTACGATTTGCTGCATCTTTTGACTTTCGGTCTTCTGGCAGATCGCGCCAACGTGCCTACCCACGCTCAGCATCCAGAAATTCATCACACAACAGGTTTCTCCCTGGTCGCCAGAGTCTTTGCGACCACGTGGATGGTCTTGGTGAGTACTCAGCCATGCTTTTGGTTGCTCGACAGCAGTCGCGTGGGACTTTTCCAGCCTTTGCCAATGTTTGGTGACGCACTTGTATTCTGCATTATTCTGCAGCTTTGACCTGCTTTCATGCATATTTGGGCTTGCAGGTGTGACGTTGCCTGCAGCAAACAGACTATCTACTGCGCATTTCCCGACAATACGACAACAGTGACCTGTCGCGGCAAATTTCCTTTGTGCCGGGTCAATCGGGCTCGCCGCGACCGTTCCTACACGCCTATGTGAGCAGTGCTGGCTAGACTGCTGTCAAAAAGGTTCTGTGGCGATAAAGCCGGCTTCTGACACCGTCTATGTCGTGTGGGGCACTTCTGGAGGCGCTGCGGAGCGGGTGAGCTCAATGTTGACGAGACCTGAGATGGACTCGACGTGCAATCCTCCAACTCAAAGTTGACGAAGCCGGAGATGGACTCCCCATTGCAGTGCTTGTGCCCTTATACACAGAGGTTAGGACCCAGGTTCCAGGCATTGTTCTCTCAGATGGTCTTCCATGGATGCGGCTGACACTGTTGAGGAGGCCCTTCAACTGCTGGTCTCAACGGCAATTCGTAAGTGATCTCAGGGATCTCTGCGGCTCCAGGACGGCTGCTGGCCTCGGCTGGGTTCGGGATTTCTGCGCACGGGGGCCATACCGAACCGCAACTGCTCTGTTCCTCTCTGGCAAAGTACCTCTGACAAAGCCCGGCCGTAGCCGTGCAGGTGTCCGCGCGCGGCGCACGACGGGGGGGTAAAGCAGAGATGGCGCAAGTGTGCTCAGTGTCGGCACAGCCGTGGATCCGCGGAGCTGCTGTCCCAGTGTGGGACTTGGTGCAGAGATTTCAGCATACCTTCAGCATAGCCAGCATCGTGGATACACCAGAGGATCAGGACGATGGGATGTAGTCGCTTTGAGCTCGGCAGGGCTCATCGGCAGCATTCACAACTTAGACTTAGCCCTTGAAGTGCAAGCTGCTTCAGCTGGCTTGATTGCAGCGGTTGTGTGCTGCTTGTCAGCGTGGCCCAGCTATGCGATTCTGGAAAGGATGGTGCGCCTTCAGAAACCTCGAAAGGCACCTGGCCACTTGCTCAGAACTTGCCTTGGGGCGAGGTATCCTGACCCCAACATCTATGCAGCCGCCTTGGCCGACTAGGCTCAGGCCTACGCTGTTTCGATAGCTTCGCCTGTGCCCTCTGTTCGCCAGTTGTC